AATCAGTAAACCATTAACCATGTTACTAAAGAAAGGGGGTTTTGTGTGGAATGAGGGAGCAACACATGTGTTTGAGGCTTTGAAGTTAGCTATGACCCAAGCACCAGTATTAGCATTACCCGACTTTAAGTTACCATTTGTGGTCGAAGTAGATGCTAGTGGTCTGGGAGTAGGAGTTGGGTTGGAAATCATTTTTTAAAATCTCAGCCACTTCATTAACATGGCTTTAAGTTTTTTAGCTCAGGCACTTCATTAACAGTGTTAACTGAAATATCAGGAAAAATAATTTAACTTTGTACCAAAAAAAGGAATATAAGTACCATTAATCACGAATAATCACAAAAAGGAACTGTCTGGAGAACCCTGCTTCCAAGACAAGCAAATGAAACTGATCTATTCACAGATTGCATTACGTCTGAAGCGAACGTTTCTCAGAATAGGAAAACGTCAAAATTATAGACTAACCTTGATAATCTGTATATTAGACAGTAGCAGACCGCAGAACATTGGACATGCTGTGTCTGAGTCAAAACTCAGAACCAGACAGCTGATAACTTTTTACCATCTCTGACTAATTCCTGGGACCTAGTTAACCTGCAAGAGTCAAGATAAGAATAAAGATAAACTACCTGTCAGTAAGTAAAGACAAATATACCGAATATGGCGATCATGAAACGACCTTTACCAGACCTTACGAAACAGTCGAACTAAAGCATGAAAAAAGTGCCAATATTCGTCTGACGAAGCACCTTTGAACTACGATCCAGTCCATGAGAAGCCACCTAAATAGTTGGTTCAAATAAATTGGCAAGGTGCTATAACTAGAGGTATGGAATAAAGATAAATATGATCCAATGTCTCTCAGAGAAAAGCGCCAGATTTAAAGCAATAGCTATGCTCATGTAGATTTCAGAACTCAGAAGTACTGGACAAAACTTCCTTGCTATGATAAGATAATCATGGTAGTTACTAACATCAAAGAAGAGACAAGAGATAGAGGGAAGGGGAATAAGAAAAAGTAAAAAAAAAATATTAGAAGACAACACACTACAAGACATGCAATTACTATAAGTCTAGTTTAGGCACATTTGGCAGTAGAGAACCGTGAACGTTATGAAACGAGAAAAAATGGCTCTTAACGTCTTACCTGCTCAATTTACAGTACATTATATATGTATGAAAACGCATATAACCGTCTAAGCAAAATGAGGTCCCTAAGCAATGGCTAACTGTTTGCACTTTAAGACATTTTAAAGCTCAGAGGTGCACATGGAGTACATATTAACTCTAGCTTAAGCCATACTACTACTTTCGGTTCCTTCAACAGCTTTTTCTGTTAAATCCATAAGAATCAGAGAAGGAAGATTCTCTATTTCTCTTTTCCTCCATAGACGGGTCTTTTTTTTTAACCCATTATCTTGCTTTATCTCCAAGGACATTGTTAGAATAGTTATGTAAATAGGAGTAAATAACCCTAATCCAATATGTATTAGGAGTAGGATATGTTGTGTATATATATATAGGGCTTATCGTGTTTTAACACAAGTTAATAATATCAATATTATTTTCTCCCGTGCTTTCTCACATGGTATCAGAGTAGCAGTGAGAAAATATCCGGGAAAGTCGCCGTGCTTCAATTCCGGCGACCACTTTTCGGGCAGTTTTTGACTTCGTTCCTTCAGAACAGTTGGCTCGCCCTCAAAACCCGAGCCTATCCATAATTTTATTTTTTAGTTCCGACCACTTTGAGTTTTTCCGGCGACTACACTGATTTTTTCCGGCAGATACAGTAATTTTCCGGCAAAAACAGTGTTTCCTTCATCTGTTTCAGCGAGTTGTCAGTTGATTCTTTCTGTTATTTGGTGATAATCCAACAATGTCTTTGGGAGTCGATGCTTTCGGGTCTAAAAACCCGGGTTCTGGCAGTTCCGATGTTATGATTACCTCAGAACCTTTAATGGGAGGTTCAAACTACTTAGCTTGGGCTTCGTCTGACGAGTTGTGGTGTAAAGGTCAAGGAGTTCAAGATCATTTAACAAAAAAGGCTAGCGAAGGTGATGAAAAGGCCAAAACACAGTGGGAGAAGGTCGATGCTCAGTTATGTAGTATCCTGTGGCGATCTATTGATTCCAAGTTGATGCCCTTGTTCCGTCCATTCCAGACATGTTATTTAGTTTGGGAAAAGGCTCGTAATCTATACACTAATGACATATCTCGTTTCTATGATGTAATATCGCGAATGACAAGCTTGAAGAAACAGGAATTAGATATGTCTACTTACTTGGGACAAGTTCAGGCAGTCATGGAAGAATTTGAGACGTTGATGCCAGTTTCTGCTAGTATTGAAAAACAACAAGAGCAACGACAGAAGATGTTTCTAGTTCTTACACTCGCTGGACTCCCTAATGACCTTGATTCAGTACGTGACCAGATTTTGGCTAGTCCAACCGTCCCCACAGTTGATGAATTATTCTCTCGATTACTTCGCCTTGCTGCAGCACCTAGTCACCCAGTGAGCTCATCACAGACACTTGACTCATCTGTCCTCGTATCCCAATCAGTGGACAATCGGGCATCTCATACTATGGAAAATAGACGAGGAGGAGGTCGTTTTGGAAGATCTAGACCCAAGTGCTCCTATTGTCATAAACTTGGACACACTCGTGATGTATGCTATTCTTTACATGGCCGCCCAACCAAAAATGCTTATGTTGCTCAGACTGAGACTACAGGTAACCAGGGATTTTCTTTATCTGAAGGGGAGTATAATGAGTTCCTTCAGTATCGAGCAAGTAAGCAGACATCTCCACAAGTAGCTTCTGTTGCTCAGACTAATACTTCTGTTGCTGGTAATTCTTTTGCTTGTGTTTCCCAGTCTAGTCCTCCTGGACAATGGGTTGTGGACTCAGCCGCTTCTGATCATATCTCTGGTAATAAATCACTTTTGTCAAATATTGCGTATTCACAGTCTCTTCCCACTGTTACTTTAGCCAATGGGTCTCAAACCAAAGCAAAAGGAGTTGGACAAGCGAATCCCCTACCCTCTGTCACTCTAGATTCCGTTCTCTATGTCCCTGGCTGTCCTTTTAATCTTGCATCTGTTAGTCGTTTGACTCGTGCCCTCCATTGTGGTATATATTTTATTGATGATTCTTTTATTATGCAGGACCGCAGTACAGGGCAGACGATTGGAACAGGACTTGAATCAGAAGGGCTTTACTACCTTAACTCCCTAAAATCCTCCAAGGCATGTCTAGTTACAGATCCTCCGGACCTAATTCACAGACGTTTAGGACATCCAAGCTTATCCAAGCTTCAGAAGATGGTGCCTGGTTTGTCTAGTTTATCCACATTAGAGTGTGAGTCATGTCAGCTCGGGAAACATACCCGAGCCTCCTATCCTCGTAGTATTGAGAGTCACGCAGAGTCTATTTTTTCTTTAGTTCACTCTGATATATGGGGTCCTAGTAGAGTCAGTTCAACCTTGGGATTTCGTTATTTTGTTAGTTTTATTGATGATCATTCAAGATGTACTTGGATTTTCTTAATGAAAGATCGTTCTGAGTTGTTTTCTATATTCCAGAATTTTTGTGCTGAAATTAAAAATCAATTTGGTGTTTCCATTCGCACTTTTCGCAGTGATAATGCCTTAGAATATTTATCCTCTCAATGTCAGCAGTTTATGACTTCTCAAGGAATTATTCATCAGACCTCTTGTCCTTATACCCCTCAGCAAAATGGGGTTGCAGAGAGAAAGAATAGGCACATCATTGAGACTGCTCGCACACTTCTCATTGAATCTCATGTTCCGCTGCGTTTTTGGGGCGATGCAGTTCTCACAGCTTGTTATTTAGTTAATCGGATGCCTTCCTCTCCCATCCAGAATCAGATACCGTATGCAGTATTGTTTCCCCAATCACCCGTATACTCTGTTCCCCCTCGTGTTTTTGGGAGCACTTGTTTCGTTCATAACCTAGCCCCTGGGAAAGATAAGTTAGCTCCTCGTGCTCTCAAGTGTGTCTTCCTTGGTTATTCTCGTGTTCAGAAGGGATATCGTTGTTACTCACTTGATCTTCGTAGGTACTTTATGTCCTCTGATGTCACATTTTTTGAGTCTAAACCTTTCTTTACCTCTTCTGACCATTCTGACCACCTTGATATATCTGAGGTTTTAACCTATACAGACCTTTAAGGAGTCTACTATAGCTCCTCCTTCACCTTCCGCCACAGAAGTCTTACCCGAATCTACTAGAGCTCCTCCTTCACCTTCCGTTACAGAAGTCTTACCCATTCCAACCGTTGAGGAGTCTAGTGTGGCTCCTCCTAGACTCCCTGTCACAGGAACACCACTCTTAACATATCATCGTCGTCCGCACCCAGCATCAGGCCCAGCTGATTCACGTCCTGCACCTGACTCTGCTCCTACTGCGGACTTGTCTCTTCCTAGTACACCGATTGTACTTCGGAAAGGTATACGGACCACCCTTAATCCTAATCCCCATTATGTCGGTTTGAGTATCATCGTTTGTCATCACCCTATTACGCTTTTCTATCTTCTTTGTCCTCTGTTTCCATCCCTAAGTCTACAGGTGAAGCATTGTCTCATCCAGGATGGCGACAGGCTATGATTGACGAGATGTCTACTTTACATACGAGTGGTACTTGGGAGCTCGTCCCTCTTCCTTCAGGTAAATCTACTGTTGGTTGTCGTTGGGTGTATGCAGTCAAGGTTGGTCCGGATGGTAAGGTTGATCGTCTTAAGGCTCGTCTCGTTGCCAAGGGATATACTCAGATATTTGGGCTCGATTACAGTGATAACTTCTCTCCCGTGGCTAAGATAGCATCAGTCAGCCTTTTTCTATCCATGGTTGTTGTTCGCCATTGGCCCCTCTATCAGCTGGACATTAAGAATGCTTTTTTACACGGTGATCTTGAGGATGAAGTTTATATGGAGCAACCACCTGGGTTTGTTGCTCAGGGGGAGTCTCGTGGCCTTGTATGTCGCTTGCGCCGGTCACTTTATGGTCTAAAGCAGTCTCCTCGAGCCTGGTTTGGTAAGTTCAGCACAGTTATCCAGGAATTTGGCATGATTCGGAGTGAAGCTGATCACTCT